TGCGGTGCTTAGGTCATGCAATAACACCATTCAATTGAGTCGGAATCATCAGCTGTGCCGAAATGACAGCTCCAGTTCGTGTCCTACACGTTGTTCACTCGTTGCCCATGTCTGGTTGCATGTCTGGTTGCATGTCTGTGCTTGCATCCAACACCGCACGAAGATGGGAAGCGCAACTGCTGCTGGGTCTTGATGCGGTGCTTAGGTCATGCAATAACACCATTCAATTGAGTCGGAATCATCAGCTGTGCCGAAATGACAGCTCCAGTTCGTGTCCTACACGTTGTTCACTCGTTGCCCATGTCTGGTTGCATGTCTGGTTGCATGTCTGTGCTTGCATCCAACACCGCACGAAGATGGGAAGCGCAACTGCTGCTGGGTCTTGATGCGGTGCTTAGGTCATGCAATAACACCATTCAATTGAGTCCGAATCATCAGCTGTGCCGAAATGACAGCTCCAGTTCGTGTACTACACGTTGTTCACTCGTTGCCCATGTCTGGTTGCATGTCTGGTTGCATGTCTGTGCTTGCATCCAACACCGCACGAAGATGGGAAGCGCAACTGCTGCTGGGTCTTGATGCGGTGCTTAGGTCATGCAATAACACCATTCAATTGAGTCGGAATCATCAGCTGTGCCGAAATGACAGCTCCAGTTCGTGTACTACACGTTGTTCACTCGTTGCCCATGTCTGGTTGCATGTCTGGTTGCATGTCTGTGCTTGCATCCAACACCGCACGAAGATGGGAAGCGCAACTGCTGCTGGGTCTTGATGCGGTGCTTAGGTCATGCAATAACACCATTCAATTGAGTCGGAACGCTCATCATCTGTGCCGAAATGACAGCTCCAGTTCGTGTATAACGTTGTTCTACTCGTTGCCCATGTCTGGTTGCATGTCTGGTTGCATGTCTGTGCTTGCATCCAACACCGCACGAAGATGGGAAGCGCAACTGCTGCTGGGTCTTGATGCGGTGCTTAGGTCATGCAATAACACCATTCAATTGAGTCGGAATCATCAGCTGTGCCGAAATGACAGCTCCAGTTCGTGTACTACACGTTGTTCACTCGTTGCCCATGTCTGGTTGCATGTCTGGTTGCATGTCTGTGCTTGCATCCAACACCGCACGAAGATGGGAAGCGCAACTGCTGCTGGGTCTTGATGCGGTGCTTAGGTCATGCAATAACACCATTCAATGAGTCGGAATCATCAGCTGTGCCGAAATGACAGCTCCAGTTCGTGTCCTACACGTTGTTCACTCGTTGCCCATGTCTGGTTGCATGTCTGGTTGCATGTCTGTGCTTGCATCCAACACCGCACGAAGATGGGAAGCGCAACTGCTGCTGGGTCTTGATGCGGTGCTTAGGTCATGCAATAACACCATTCAATTGAGTCGGAATCATCAGCTGTGCCGAAATGACAGCTCCAGTTCGTGTACTACACGTTGTTCACTCGTTGCCCATGTCTGGTTGCATGTCTGGTTGCATGTCTGTGCTTGCATCCAACACCGCACGAAGATGGGAAGCGCAACTGCTGCTGGGTCTTGATGCGGTGCTTAGGTCATGCAATAACACCATTCAATTGAGTCGGAATCATCAGCTGTGCCGAAATGACAGCTCCAGTTCGTGTACTACACGTTGTTCACTCGTTGCCCATGTCTGGTTGCATGTCTGGTTGCATGTCTGTGCTTGCATCCAACACCGCACGAAGATGGGAAGCGCAACTGCTGCTGGGTCTTGATGCGGTGCTTAGGTCATGCAATAACACCATTCAATTGAGTCGGAATCATCAGCTGTGCCGAAATGACAGCTCCAGTTCGTGTACTACACGTTGTTCACTCGTTGCCCATGTCTGGTTGCATGTCTGTTGTGCTTGCATCCAACACCGCACGAAGATGGGAAGCGCAACTGCTGCTGGGTCTTGATGCGGTGCTTAGGTCATGCAATAACACCATTCAATTGAGTCGGAATCATCAGCTGTGCCGAAATGACAGCTCCAGTTCGTGTACTACACGTTGTTCACTCGTTGCCCATGTCTGGTTGCATGTCTGGTTGCATGTCTGAGCTTGCATCCAACACCGCACGAAGATGGGAAGCGCAACTGCTGCTGGGTCTTGATGCGGTGCTTAGGTCATGCAATAACACCATTCAAATGAGTCAGAATCATCAGCTGCGCCGAAATGACAGCTCCAGTTCGTGTACTACACGTTGTTCACTCGTTGCCCATGTCTGGTTGCATGTCTGGTTGCATGTCTGTGCTTGCATCCAACACCGCACGAAGATGGGAAGCGCAACTGCTGCTGGGTCTTGATGCGGTGCTTAGGTCATGCAATAACACCATTCAATTGAGTCGGAATCATCAGCTGTGCCGAAATGACAGCTCCAGTTCGTGTACTACACGTTGTTCACTCGTTGCCCATGTCTGGTTGCATGTCTGGTTGCATGTCTGTGCTTGCATCCAACACCGCACGAAGATGGGAAGCGCAACTGCTGCTGGGTCTTGATGCGGTGCTTAGGTCATGCAATAACACCATTCAATTGAGTCGGAATCATCAGCTGCGCCGAAATGACAGCTCCAGTTCGTGTACTACACGTTGTTCACTCGTTGCCCATGTCTGGTTGCATGTCTGGTTGCATGTCTGTGCTTGCATCCAACACCGCACGAAGATGGGAAGCGCAACTGCTGCTGGGTCTTGATGCGGTGCTTAGGTCATGCAATAACACCATTCAAATGAGTCAGAATCATCATCTGTGCCGAAATGATAGCTCCAGTTCGTGTCCTACACGTTGTTCACTCGTTGCCCATGTCTGGTTGCATGTCTGGTTGCATGTCTGAGCTTGCATCCAACACCGCACGAAGATGGGAAGCGCAACTGCTGCTGGGTCTTGATGCGGTGCTTAGGTCATGCAATAACACCATTCAAATGAGTCGGAATCATCATCTGTGCCGAAATGACAGCTCCAGTTCGTGTCCTACACGTTGTTCACTCGTTGCCCATGTCTGGTTGCATGTCTGGTTGCATGTCTGAGCTTGCATCCAACACCGCACGAAGATGGGAAGCGCAACTGCTGCTGGGTCTTGATGCGGTGCTTAGGTCATGCAATAACACCATTCAATTGAGTCGGAATCATCATCTGTGCCGAAATGACAGCTCCAGTTCGTGTACTACACGTTGTTCACTCGTTGCCCATGTCTGGTTGCATGTCTGTGCTTGCATCCAACACCGCACGAAGATGGGAAGCGCAACTGCTGCTGGGTCTTGATGCGGTGCTTAGGTCATGCAATAACACCATTCAATTGAGTCAGAATCATCAGCTGTGCCGAAATGACAGCTCCAGTTCGTGTACTACACGTTGTTCACTCGTTGCCCATGTCTGGTTGCATGTCTGGTTGCATGTCTGTGCTTGCATCCAACACCGCACGAAGATGGGAAGCGCAACTGCTGCTGGGTCTTGATGCGGTGCTTAGGTCATGCAATAACACCATTCAAATGAGTCGGAATCATCATCTGTGCCGAAATGACAGCTCCAGTTCGTGTTCAACATGTTTTTCACTCGTTGCCCATGTCTGGTTGCATGTCTGGTTGCATGTCTGAGCTTGCATCCAACACCGCACGAAGATGGGAAGCGCAACTGCTGCTGGGTCTTGATGCGGTGCTTAGGTCATGCAATAACACCATTCAATTGAGTCGGAATCATCATCTGTGCCGAAATGACAGCTCCAGTTCGTGTACTACACGTTGTTCACTCGTTGCCCATGTCTGGTTGCATGTCTGGTTGCATGTCTGAGCTTGCATCCAACACCGCACGAAGATGGGAAGCGCAACTGTTGCTGGGTCTTGATGCGGTGCTTAGATCATGCAATAACACCATTCAATTGAGTCGGAATCATCAGCTGTGCCGAAATGACAGCTCCAATTCGTGTACTACACGTTGTTCACTCGTTGCCCATGTCTGGTTGCATGTCTGTGCTTGCATCCAACACCGCACGAAGATGGGAAGCGCAACTGCTGCTGGGTCTTGATGCGGTGCTTAGGTCATGCAATAACACCATTCAATTGAGTCGGAATCATCATCTGTGCCGAAATGACAGCTCCAGTTCGTGTCCAACACGTTGTTCACTCGTTGCCCATGTCTGGTTGCATGTCTGTGCTTGCATCCAACACCGCACGAAGATGGGAAGCGCAACTGCTGCTGGGTCTTGATGCGGTGCTTAGGTCATGCAATAACACCATTCAAATGAGTCGGAATCATCAGCTGTGCCGAAATGACAGCTCCAGTTCGTGTACTACACGTTGTTCACTCGTTGCCCATGTCTGGTTGCATGTCTGTGCTTGCATCCAACACCGCACGAAGATGGGAAGCGCAACTGCTGCTGGGTCTTGATGCGGTGCTTAGGTCATGCAATAACACCATTCAAATGAGTCAGAATCATCATCTGTGCCGAAATGACAGCTCCAGTTCGTGTACTACACGTTGTTCACTCGTTGCCCATGTCTGGTTGCATGTCTGAGCTTGCATCCAACACCGCACGAAGATGGGAAGCGCAACTGCTGCTGGGTCTTGATGCGGTGCTTAGGTCATGCAATAACACCATTCAATTGAGTCGGAATCATCAGCTGTGCCGAAATGACAGCTCCAGTTCGTGTACTACACGTTGTTCACTCGTTGCCCATGTCTGGTTGCATGTCTGTGCTTGCATCCAACACCGCACGAAGATGGGAAGCGCAACTGCTGCTGGGTCTTGATGCGGTGCTTAGGTCATGCAATAACACCATTCAATTGAGTCGGAATCATCAGCTGCGCCGAAATGACAGCTCCAGTTCGTGTACTACACGTTGTTCACTCGTTGCCCATGTCTGGTTGCATGTCTGGTTGCATGTCTGAGCTTGCATCCAACACCGCACGAAGATGGGAAGCGCAACTGCTGCTGGGTCTTGATGCGGTGCTTAGATCATGCAATAACACCATTCAATTGAGTCGGAATCATCAGCTGTGCCGAAATGACAGCTCCAGTTCGTGTACTACACGTTGTTCACTCGTTGCCCATGTCTGGTTACATGTCTGTGCTTGCATCCAACACCGCACGAAGATGGGAAGCGCAACTGCTGCTGGGTCTTGATGCGGTGCTTAGGTCATGCAATAACACCATTCAATTGAGTCAGAATCATCAGCTGTGCCGAAATGATAGCTCCAGTTCGTGTCCAACATGTTGTTCACTCGTTGCCCATGTCTGGTTGCATGTCTGGTTGCATGTCTGAGCTTGCATCCAACACCGCACGAAGATGGGAAGCGCAACTGCTGCTGGGTCTTGATGCGGTGCTTAGGTCATGCAATAACCACCTCTTGATGAGTCGGAATCATCAGCTGTGCCGAAATGACAGCTCCAAGTCGTGTACTACACGTTGTTCACTCGTTGCCCATGTCTGGTTGCATGTCTGGTTGCATGTCTGTGCTTGCATCCAACACCGCACGAAGATGGGAAGCGCAACTGCTGCTGGGTCTTGATGCGGTGCTTAGGTCATGCAATAACACCTCTTGATGAGTCGGAACCATCGGCTGTGCCGAAATGACAGCTCCAATTCGTGTACTACACGTTGTTCACTCGTTGCCCATGTCTGGTTGCATGTCTGGTTGCATGTCTGTGCTTGCATCCAACACCGCACGAAGATGGGAAGCGCAACTGCTGCTGGGTCTTGATGCGGTGCTTAGGTCATGCAATAACACCATTCAAATGAGTCGGAATCATCATCTGTGCCGAAATGACAGCTCCAGTTCGTGTACTACACGTTGTTCACTCGTTGCCCATGTCTGGTTGCATGTCTGGTTGCATGTCTGTGCTTGCATCCAACACCGCACGAAGATGGGAAGCGCAACTGCTGCTGGGTCTTGATGCGGTGCTTAGGTCATGCAATAACACCATTCAATTGAGTCGGAATCATCAGCTGTGCCGAAATGACAGCTCCAGTTCGTGTCCTACACGTTGTTCACTCGTTGCCCATGTCTGGTTGCATGTCTGGTTGCATGTCTGTGCTTGCATCCAACACCGCACGAAGATGGGAAGCGCAACTGCTGCTGGGTCTTGATGCGGTGCTTAGGTCATGCAATAACACCATTCAAATGAGTCGGAATCATCATCTGTGCCGAAATGACAGCTCCAGTTCGTGTACTACACGTTGTTCACTCGTTGCCCATGTCTGGTTGCATGCGGTTGCATGTCTGTGCTTGCATCCAACACCGCACGAAGATGGGAAGCGCAACTGTTGCTGGGTCTTGATGCGGTGCTTAGATCATGCAATAACACCATTCAATTGAGTCGGAATCATCAGCTGTGCCGAAATGATAGCTCCAGTTCGTGTACTACACGTTGTTCACTCGTTGCCCATGTCTGGTTGCATGTCTGGTTGCATGTCTGTGCTTGCATCCAACACCGCACGAAGATGGGAAGCGCAACTGCTGCTGGGTCTTGATGCGGTGCTTAGGTCATGCAATAACACCATTCAATTGAGTCGGAATCATCAGCTGTGCCGAAATGACAGCTCCAGTTCGTGTACTACACGTTGTTCACTCGTTGCCCATGTCTGGTTGCATGTCTGGTTGCATGTCTGTGCTTGCATCCAACACCGCACGAAGATGGGAAGCGCAACTGCTGCTGGGTCTTGATGCGGTGCTTAGGTCATGCAATAACACCATTCAATTGAGTCGGAATCATCAGCTGTGCCGAAATGACAGCTCCAGTTCGTGTACTACACGTTGTTCACTCGTTGCCCATGTCTGGTTGCATGTCTGGTTGCATGTCTATGCTTGCATCCAACACCGCACGAAGATGGGAAGCGCAACTGCTGCTGGGTCTTGATGCGGTGCTTAGGTCATGCAATAACACCATTCAATTGAGTCAGAATCATCAGCTGTGCCGAAATGATAGCTCCAGTTCGTGTCCAACATGTTGTTCACTCGTTGCCCATGTCTGGTTGCATGTCTGGTTGCATGTCTGAGCTTGCATCCAACACCGCACGAAGATGGGAAGCGCAACTGTTGCTGGGTCTTGATGCGGTGCTTAGGTCATGCAATAACACCATTCAATTGAGTCGGAATCATCATCTGTGCCGAAATGACAGCTCCAGTTCGTGTACTACACGTTGTTCACTCGTTGCCCATGTCTGGTTGCATGTCTGGTTGCATGTCTGTGCTTGCATCCAACACCGCACGAAGATGGGAAGCGCAACTGCTGCTGGGTCTTGATGCGGTGCTTAGGTCATGCAATAACACCATTCAATTGAGTCGGAATCATCAGCTGTGCCGAAATGACAGCTCCAGTTCGTGTACTACACGTTGTTCACTCGTTGCCCATGTCTGGTTGCATGTCTGTGCTTGCATCCAACACCGCACGAAGATGGGAAGCGCAACTGTTGCTGGGTCTTGATGCGGTGCTTAGGTCATGCAATAACACCATTCAATTGAGTCGGAATCATCAGCTGTGCCGAAATGACAGCTCCAAGTCGTGTACTACACGTTGTTCACTCGTTGCCCATGTCTGGTTGCATGTCTGGTTGCATGTCTGTGCTTGCATCCAACACCGCACGAAGATGGGAAGCGCAACTGTTGCTGGGTCTTGATGCGGTGCTTAGGTCATGCAATAACACCTCTTGATGAGTCGGAATCATCAGCTGCGCCGAAATAACAGCTCCGGTTCGTGTCCTACACGTTGTTCACTCGTTGCCCATGTCTGGTTGCATGTCTGGTTGCATGTCTGTGCTTGCATCCAACACCGCACGAAGATGGGAAGCGCAACTGCTGCTGGGTCTTGATGCGGTGCTTAGGTCATGCAATAACACCTCTTGAATGAGTCGGAATCATCAGCTGTGCCGAAATGACAGCTCCAGTTCGTGTACTACACGTTGTTCACTCGTTGCCCATGTCTGGTTGCATGTCTGGTTGCATGTCTGTGCTTGCATCCAACACCGCACGAAGATGGGAAGCGCAACTGCTGCTGGGTCTTGATGCGGTGCTTAGGTCATGCAATAACACCATTCAATTGAGTCGGAATCATCATCTGTGCCGAAATGACAGCTCCAGTTCGTGTACTACACGTTGTTCACTCGTTGCCCATGTCTGGTTGCATGTCTGGTTGCATGTCTGTGCTTGCATCCAACACCGCACGAAGATGGGAAGCGCAACTGCTGCTGGGTCTTGATGCGGTGCTTAGGTCATGCAATAACACCATTCAATTGAGTCGGAATCATCATCTGTGCCGAAATGACAGCTCCAGTTCGTGTACTACACGTTGTTCACTCGTTGCCCATGTCTGGTTGCATGTCTGGTTGCATGTCTGTGCTTGCATCCAACACCGCACGAAGATGGGAAGCGCAACTGCTGCTGGGTCTTGATGCGGTGCTTAGGTCATGCAAAACCACCCTTGATGAGTCGGAACCATCGGCTGTGCCGAAATGACAGCTCCAAGTCGTGTACTACACGTTGTTCACTCGTTGCCCGTGTCTGGTTGCATGTCTGGTTGCATGTCTGTGCTTGCATCCAACACCGCACGAAGATGGGAAGCGCAACTGCTGCTGGGTCTTGATGCGGTGCTTAGGTCATGCAATAACACCATTCAATTGAGTCGGAATCATCAGCTGTGCCGAAATGACAGCTCCAGTTCGTGCTACTACACGTTGTTCACTCGTTGCCCATGTCTGGTTGCATGTCTGGTTGCATGTCTATGCTTGCATCCAACACCGCACGAAGATGGGAAGCGCAACTGCTGCTGGGTCTTGATGCGGTGCTTAGGTCATGCAATAACACCATTCAATTGAGTCGGAATCATCATCTGTGCCGAAATGACAGCTCCAGTTCGTGTACTACACGTTGTTCACTCGTTGCCCATGTCTGGTTGCATGTCTGGTTGCATGTCTGTGCTTGCATCCAACACCGCACGAAGATGGGAAGCGCAACTGCTGCTGGGTCTTGATGCGGTGCTTAGGTCATGCAATAACACCATTCAATTGAGTCGGAATCATCAGCTGTGCCGAAATGACAGCTCCAGTTCGTGTACTACACGTTGTTCACTCGTTGCCCATGTCTGGTTGCATGTCTGGTTGCATGTCTGTGCTTGCATCCAACACCGCACGAAGATGGGAAGCGCAACTGCTGCTGGGTCTTGATGCGGTGCTTAGGTCATGCAATAACACCATTCAAATGAGTCGGAATCATCAGCTGTGCCGAAATGACAGCTCCAGTTCGTGTACTACACACGTTGTTCACTCGTTGCCCATGTCTGGTTGCATGTCTGGTTGCATGTCTGTGCTTGCATCCAACACCGCACGAAGATGGGAAGCGCAACTGCTGCTGGGTCTTGATGCGGTGCTTAGGTCATGCAATAACACCATTCAATTGAGTCGGAATCATCAGCTGTGCCGAAATGACAGCTCCAGTTCGTGTACTACACACGTTGTTCACTCGTTGCCCATGTCTGGTTGCATGTCTGGTTGCATGTCTGAGCTTGCATCCAACACCGCACGAAGATGGGAAGCGCAACTGCTGCTGGGTCTTGATGCGGTGCTTAGGTCATGCAATAACACCATTCAATTGAGTCGGAATCATCAGCTGTGCCGAAATGACAGCTCCAGTTCGTGTACTACACGTTGTTCACTCGTTGCCCATGTCTGGTTGCATGTCTGGTTGCATGTCTGTGCTTGCATCCAACACCGCACGAAGATGGGAAGCGCAACTGCTGCTGGGTCTTGATGCGGTGCTTAGGTCATGCAATAACACCATTCAATTGAGTCGGAACCATCGGCTGTGCCGAAATGACAGCTCCAGTTCGTGTACTACACGTTGTTCACTCGTTGCCCATGTCTGGTTGCATGTCTGGTTGCATGTCTGTGCTTGCATCCAACACCGCACGAAGATGGGAAGCGCAACTGCTGCTGGGTCTTGATGCGGTGCTTAGGTCATGCAATAACACCATTCAATTGAGTCGGAATCATCAGCTGTGCCGAAATGACAGCTCCAGTTCGTGTACTGACACGTTGTTCACTCGTTGCCCATGTCTGGTTGCATGTCTGGTTGCATGTCTGTGCTTGCATCCAACACCGCACGAAGATGGGAAGCGCAACTGCTGCTGGGTCTTGATGCGGTGCTTAGGTCATGCAATAACACCTCTTGATGAGTCGGAACCATCGGCTGTGCCGAAATGACAGCTCCAATTCGTGTACTACACGTTGTTCACTCGTTGCCCATGTCTGGTTGCATGTCTGGTTGCATGTCTGTGCTTGCATCCAACACCGCACGAAGATGGGAAGCGCAACTGCTGCTGGGTCTTGATGCGGTGCTTAGGTCATGCAATAACACCATTCAAATGAGTCGGAATCATCAGCTGTGCCGAAATGATAGCTCCAAGTCGTGTACTACACGTTGTTCACTCGTTGCCCATGTCTGGTTGCATGTCTGGTTGCATGTCTGTGCTTGCATCCAACACCGCACGAAGATGGGAAGCGCAACTGCTGCTGGCTCTTGATGCGGTGCTTAGGTCATGCAATAACACCTCTTGATGAGTCGGAACCATCGGCTGTGCCGAAATGACAGCTCCAATTCGTGTACTACACGTTGTTCACTCGTTGCCCATGTCTGGTTGCATGTCTGGTTGCATGTCTGTGCTTGCATCCAACACCGCACGAAGATGGGAAGCGCAACTGCTGCTGGGCTCTTGATGCGGTGCTTAGGTCATGCAATAACACCATTCAATTGAGTCGGAATCATCAGCTGTGCCGAAATGACAGCTCCAGTTCGTGTACTACACGTTGTTCACTCGTTGCCCATGTCTGGTTGCATGTCTGGTTGCATGTCTGTGCTTGCATCCAACACCGCACGAAGATGGGAAGCGCAACTGCTGCTGGGTCTTGATGCGGTGCTTAGGTCATGCAATAACACCATTCAATTGAGTCGGAATCATCAGCTGTGCCGAAATGACAGCTCCAGTTCGTGTACTACACGTTGTTCACTCGTTGCCCATGTCTGGTTGCATGTCTGGTTGCATGTCTGTGCTTGCATCCAACACCGCACGAAGATGGGAAGCGCAACTGCTGCTGGGTCTTGATGCGGTGCTTAGGTCATGCAATAACACCATTCAATTGAGTCGGAATCATCAGCTGTGCCGAAATGACAGCTCCAGTTCGTGTACTACACGTTGTTCACTCGTTGCCCATGTCTGGTTGCATGTCTGGTTGCATGTCTGTGCTTGCATCCAACACCGCACGAAGATGGGAAGCGCAACTGCTGCTGGGTCTTGATGCGGTGCTTAGGTCATGCAATAACACCATTCAAATGAGTCGGAATCATCATCTGTGCCGAAATGACAGCTCCAGTTCGTGTACTACACACGTTGTTCACTCGTTGCCCATGTCTGGTTGCATGTCTGGTTGCATGTCTGTGCTTGCATCCAACACCGCACGAAGATGGGAAGCGCAACTGCTGCTGGGTCTTGATGCGGTGCTTAGGTCATGCAATAACACCATTCAATTGAGTCGGAATCATCAGCTGTGCCGAAATGACAGCTCCAGTTCGTGTACTACACGTTGTTCACTCGTTGCCCATGTCTGGTTGCATGTCTGGTTGCATGTCTGAGCTTGCATCCAACACCGCACGAAGATGGGAAGCGCAACTGCTGCTGGGTCTTGATGCGGTGCTTAGGTCATGCAATAACACCTCTTGATGAGTCGGAATCATCAGCTGTGCCGAAATGACAGCTCCAGTTCGTGTACTACACGTTGTTCACTCGTTGCCCATGTCTGGTTGCATGTCTGGTTGCATGTCTGTGCTTGCATCCAACACCGCACGAAGATGGGAAGCGCAACTGCTGCTGGGTCTTGATGCGGTGCTTAGGTCATGCAATAACACCATTCAATTGAGTCGGAATCATCAGCTGTGCCGAAATGACAGCTCCAGTTCGTGTACTACACGTTGTTCACTCGTTGCCCATGTCTGGTTGCATGTCTGGTTGCATGTCTGTGCTTGCATCCAACACCGCACGAAGATGGGAAGCGCAACTGCTGCTGGGTCTTGATGCGGTGCTTAGGTCATGCAATAACACCTCTTGAATGAGTCGGAACCATCAGCTGTGCCGAAATGACAGCTCCAGTTCGTGTACTACACGTTGTTCACTCGTTGCCCATGTCTGGTTGCATGTCTGGTTGCATGTCTGTGCTTGCATCCAACACCGCACGAAGATGGGAAGCGCAACTGCTGCTGGGTCTTGATGCGGTGCTTAGGTCATGCAATAACACCATTCAATTGAGTCGGAATCATCAGCTGCGCCGAAATGACAGCTCCAGTTCGTGTACTACACGTTGTTCACTCGTTGCCCATGTCTGGTTGCATGTCTGGTTGCATGTCTGTGCTTGCATCCAACACCGCACGAAGATGGGAAGCGCAACTGCTGCTGGGTCTTGATGCGGTGCTTAGGTCATGCAATAACACCATTCAATTGAGTCGGAATCATCAGCTGTGCCGAAATGACAGCTCCAGTTCGTGTACTACACGTTGTTCACTCGTTGCCCATGTCTGGTTGCATGTCTGTGCTTGCATCCAACACCGCACGAAGATGGGAAGCGCAACTGCTGCTGGGTCTTGATGCGGTGCTTAGGTCATGCAATAACACCATTCAATTGAGTCGGAATCATCAGCTGTGCCGAAATGACAGCTCCAGTTCGTGTACTACACGTTGTTCACTCGTTGCCCATGTCTGGTTGCATGTCTGGTTGCATGTCTGATGCTTGCATCCAACACCGCACGAAGATGGGAAGCGCAACTGCTGCTGGGTCTTGATGCGGTGCTTAGGTCATGCAATAACACCATTCAAATGAGTCGGAATCATCAGCTGTGCCGAAATGACAGCTCCAGTTCGTGTACTACACGTTGTTCACTCGTTGCCCATGTCTGGTTGCATGTCTGGTTGCATGTCTGTGCTTGCATCCAACACCGCACGAAGATGGGAAGCGCAACTGCTGCTGGGTCTTGATGCGGTGCTTAGGTCATGCAATAACACCATTCAATTGAGTCGGAATCATCAGCTGTGCCGAAATGACAGCTCCAGTTCGTGTACTACACGTTGTTCACTCGTTGCCCATGTCTGGTTGCATGTCTGGTTGCATGTCTGTGCTTGCATCCAACACCGCACGAAGATGGGAAGCGCAACTGTTGCTGGGTCTTGATGCGGTGCTTAGGTCATGCAATAACACCTCTTGATGAGTCGGAATCATCAGCTGTGCCGAAATGACAGCTCCAGTTCGTGTACTACACGTTGTTCACTCGTTGCCCATGTCTGGTTGCATGTCTGTGCTTGCATCCAACACCGCACGAAGATGGGAAGCGCAACTGCTGCTGGGTCTTGATGCGGTGCTTAGGTCATGCAATAACACCATTCAATTGAGTCGGAATCATCAGCTGTGCCGAAATGACAGCTCCAGTTCGTGTACTACACGTTGTTCACTCGTTGCCCATGTCTGGTTGCATGTCTGGTTGCATGTCTGTGCTTGCATCCAACACCGCACGAAGATGGGAAGCGCAACTGCTGCTGGGTCTTGATGCGGTGCTTAGGTCATGCAATAACACCATTCAATTGAGTCGGAATCATCAGCTGTGCCGAAATGACAGCTCCAGTTCGTGTACTACACGTTGTTCACTCGTTGCCCATGTCTGGTTGCATGTCTGTGCTTGCATCCAACACCGCACGAAGATGGGAAGCGCAACTGCTGCTGGGTCTTGATGCGGTGCTTAGGTCATGCAATAACACCATTCAATTGAGTCGGAATCATCAGCTGTGCCGAAATGACAGCTCCAGTTCGTGTACTACACGTTGTTCACTCGTTGCCCATGTCTGGTTGCATGTCTGTAGCTTGCATCCAACACCGCACGAAGATGGGAAGCGCAACTGCTGCTGGGTCTTGATGCGGTGCTTAGGTCATGCAATAACACCTCTTGATGAGTCGGAATCATCAGCTGCGCCGAAATGACAGCTCCAGTTCGTGTACTACACGTTGTTCACTCGTTGCCCATGTCTGGTTGCATGTCTGTGCTTGCATCCAACACCGCACGAAGATGGGAAGCGCAACTGCTGCTGGGTCTTGATGCGGTGCTTAGGTCATGCAATAACACCATTCAATTGAGTCGGAATCATCAGCTGTGCCGAAATGACAGCTCCAGTTCGTGTACTACACGTTGTTCACTCGTTGCCCATGTCTGGTTGCATGTCTGGTTGCATGTCTGTGCTTGCATCCAACACCGCACGAAGATGGGAAGCGCAACTGCTGCTGGGTCTTGATGCGGTGCTTAGGTCATGCAATAACACCACTTCAATTGAGTCGGAATCATCAGCTGTGCCGAAATGACAGCTCCAGTTCGTGTACTACACGTTGTTCACTCGTTGCCCATGTCTGGTTGCATGTCTGGTTGCATGTCTGTGCTTGCATCCAACACCGCACGAAGATGGGAAGCGCAACTGCTGCTGGGTCTTGATGCGGTGCTTAGGTCATGCAATAACACCATTCAATTGAGTCGGAATCATCAGCTGTGCCGAAATGATAGCTCCAGTTCGTGTACTACACGTTGTTCACTCGTTGCCCATGTCTGGTTGCATGTCTGGTTGCATGTCTGTGCTTGCATCCAACACCGCACGAAGATGGGAAGCGCAACTGCTGCTGGGTCTTGATGCGGTGCTTAGGTCATGCAATAACACCATTCAATTGAGTCGGAATCATCAGCTGTGCCGAAATGACAGCTCCAGTTCGTGTACTACACGTTGTTCACTCGTTGCCCATGTCTGGTTGCATGTCTGGTTGCATGTCTGTGCTTGCATCCAACACCGCACGAAGATGGGAAGCGCAACTGCTGCTGGGTCTTGATGCGGTGCTTAGGTCATGCAATAACACCATTTAATTGAGTCGGAATCATCAGCTGTGCCGAAATGACAGCTCCAGTTCGTGTACAACACGTTGTTCACTCGTTGCCCATGTCTGGTTGCATGTCTGGTTGCTTTGTGCTTGCATCCAACACCGCACGAAGATGGGAAGCGCAACTGCTGCTGGGTCTTGATGCGGTGCTTAGGTCATGCAATAACACCATTCAAATGAGTCGGAATCATCAGCTGTGCCGAAATGACAGCTCCAGTTCGTGTACTACACGTTGTTCACTCGTTGCCCATGTCTGGTTGCATGTCTGGTTGCATGTCTGTGCTTGCATCCAACACCGCACGAAGATGGGAAGCGCAACTGCTGCTGGGTCTTGATGCGGTGCTTAGGTCATGCAATAACACCATTCAATTGAGTCGGAATCATCAGCTGTGCCGAAATGACAGCTCCAGTTCGTGTACCTACACGTTGTTCACTCGTTGCCCATGTCTGGTTGCATGTCTGGTTGCATGTCTGTGCTTGCATCCAACACCGCACGAAGATGGGAAGCGCAACTGCTGCTGGGTCTTGATGCGGTGCTTAGGTCATGCAATAACACCATTCAATTGAGTCGGAATCATCAGCTGTGCCGAAATGACAGCTCCAGTTCGTGTACTACACGTTGTTCACTCGTTGCCCATGTCTGGTTGCATGTCTGGTTGCATGTCTGTGCTTGCATCCAACACCGCACGAAGATGGGAAGCGCAACTGCTGCTGGGTCTTGATGCGGTGCTTAGGTCATGCAATAACACCATTCAATTGAGTCGGAATCATCAGCTGTGCCGAAATGACAGCTCCAGTTCGTGTACTACACGTTGTTCACTCGTTGCCCATGTCTGGTTGCATGTCTGGTTGCATGTCTGTGCTTGCATCCAACACCGCACGAAGATGGGAAGCGCAACTGCTGCTGGGTCTTGATGCGGTGCTTAGGTCATGCAATAACACCATTCAAATGAGTCAGAATCATCAGCTGTGCCGAAATGACAGCTCCAGTTCGTGTACTACACGTTGTTCACTCGTTGCCCATGTCTGGTTGCATGTCTGGTTGCATGTCTGTGCTTGCATCCAACACCGCACGAAGATGGGAAGCGCAACTGCTGCTGGGTCTTGATGCGGTGCTTAGGTCATGCAATAACACCATTCAATTGAGTCGGAATCATCAGCTGTGCCGAAATGACAGCTCCAGTTCGTGTACTACACGTTGTTCACTCGTTGCCCATGTCTGGTTGCATGTCTGGTTGCATGTCTGTGCTTGCATCCAACACCGCACGAAGATGGGAAGCGCAACTGCTGCTGGGTCTTGATGCGGTGCTTAGGTCATGCAATAACACCATTCAATTGAGTCGGAATCATCAGCTGTGCCGAAATGACAGCTCCAGTTCGTGTACTACACGTTGTTCACTCGTTGCCCATGTCTGGTTGCATGTCTGGTTGCATGTCTGTGCTTGCATCCAACACCGCACGAAGATGGGAAGCGCAACTGCTGCTGGGTCTTGATGCGGTGCTTAGGTCATGCAATAACACCATTCAATTGAGTCGGAATCATCATCTGTGCCGAAATGACAGCTCCAGTTCGTGTACTACACGTTGTTCACTCGTTGCCCATGTCTGGTTGCATGTCTGGTTGCATGTCTGTGCTTGCATCCAACACCGCACGAAGATGGGAAGCGCAACTGCTGCTGGGTCTTGATGCGGTGCTTAGGTCATGCAATAACACCATTCAATTGAGTCGGAATCATCAGCTGTGCCGAAATGACAGCTCCAGTTCGTGTACTACACGTTGTTCACTCGTTGCCCATGTCTGGTTGCATGTCTGTGCTTGCATCCAACACCGCACGAAGATGGGAAGCGCAACTGCTGCTGGGTCTTGATGCGGTGCTTAGGTCATGCAATAACACCATTCAATTGAGTCGGAATCATCATCTGCGCCGAAATGACAGCTCCAGTTCGTGTACTACACGTTGTTCACTCGTTGCCCATGTCTGGTTGCATGTCTGGTTGCATGTCTGTGCTTGCATCCAACACCGCACGAAGATGGGAAGCGCAACTGCTGCTGGGTCTTGATGCGGTGCTTAGGTCATGCAATAACACCATTCAATTGAGTCGGAATCATCAGCTGTGCCGAAATGACAGCTCCAGTTCGTGTACTACACGTTGTTCACTCGTTGCCCATGTCTGGTTGCATGTCTGTGCTTGCATCCAACACCGCACGAAGATGGGAAGCGCAACTGCTGCTGGGTCTTGATGCGGTGCTTAGGTCATGCAATAACACCATTCAATTGAGTCGGAATCATCATCTGTGCCGAAATGACAGCTCCAGTTCGTGTACTACACGTTGTTCACTCGTTGCCCATGTCTGGTTGCATGTCTGGTTGCATGTCTGTGCTTGCATCCAACACCGCACGAAGATGGGAAGCGCAACTGCTGCTGGGTCTTGATGCGGTGCTTAGGTCATGCAATAACACCATTCAATTGAGTCGGAATCATCAGCTGTGCCGAAATGACAGCTCCAGTTCGTGTACTACACGTTGTTCACTCGTTGCCCATGTCTGGTTGCATGTCTGGTTGCATGTCTGTGCTTGCATCCAACACCGCACGAAGATGGGAAGCGCAACTGCTGCTGGGTCTTGATGCGGTGCTTAGGTCATGCAATAACACCATTCAATTGAGTCGGAATCATCAGCTGTGCCGAAATGACAGCTCCAGTTCGTGTACTACACGTTGTTCACTCGTTGCCCATGTCTGGTTGCATGTCTGGTTGCATGTCTGTGCTTGCATCCAACACCGCACGAAGATGGGAAGCGCAACTGCTGCTGGGTCTTGATGCGGTGCTTAGGTCATGCAATAACACCATTCAATTGAGTCGGAATCATCAGCTGTGCCGAAATGACAGCTCCAGTTCGTGTACTACACGTTGTTCACTCGTTGCCCATGTCTGGTTGCATGTCTGTGCTTGCATCCAACACCGCACGAAGATGGGAAGCGCAACTGTTGCTGGGTCTTGATGCGGTGCTTAGGTCATGCAATAACACCATTCAATTGAGTCGGAATCATCATCTGTGCCGAAATGACAGCTCCAGTTCGTGTACTACACGTTGTTCACTCGTTGCCCATGTCTGGTTGCATGTCTGGTGTGTTGTGCTTGCATCCAACACCGCACGAAGATGGGAAGCGCAACTGCTGCTGGGTCTTGATGCGGTGCTTAGGTCATGCAATAACACCATTCAATTGAGTCGGAATCATCATCTGTGCCGAAATGACAGCTCCAGTTCGTGTACTACACGTTGTTCACTCGTTGCCCATGTCTGGTTGCATGTCTGGTTGCATGTCTGTGCTTGCATCCAACACCGCACGAAGATGGGAAGCGCAACTGCTGCTGGGTCTTGATGCGGTGCTTAGGTCATGCAATAACACCATTCAATTGAGTCGGAATCATCAGCTGTGCCGAAATGACAGCTCCAGTTCGTGTACTACACGTTGTTCACTCGTTGCCCATGTCTGGTTGCATGTCTGGTTGCATGTCTGTGCTTGCATCCAACACCGCACGAAGATGGGAAGCGCAACTGCTGCTGGGTCTTGATGCGGTGCTTAGGTCATGCAATAACACCATTCAATTGAGTCGGAATCATCATCTGTGCCGAAATGACAGCTCCAGTTCGTGTACTACACGTTGTTCACTCGTTGCCCATGTCTGGTTGCATGTCTGGTTGCATGTCTGTGCTTGCATCCAACACCGCACGAAGATGGGAAGCGCAACTGCTGCTGGGTCTTGATGCGGTGCTTAGGTCATGCAATAACACCATTCAAATGAGTCGGAATCATCAGCTGTGCCGAAATGACAGCTCCAGTTCGTGTCCTACACGTTGTTCACTCGTTGCCCATGTCTGGTTGCATGTCTGGTTGCATGTCTGTGCTTGCATCCAACACCGCACGAAGATGGGAAGCGCAACTGCTGCTGGGTCTTGATGCGGTGCTTAGGTCATGCAATAACACCATTCAATTGAGTCGGAATCATCAGCTGTGCCGAAATGACAGCTCCAGTTCGTGTACTACACGTTGTTCACTCGTTGCCCATGTCTGGTTGCATGTCTGGTTGCATGTCTGTGCTTGCATCCAACACCGCACGAAGATGGGAAGCGCAACTGTTGCTGGGTCTTGATGCGGTGCTTAGGTCATGCAATAACACCATTCAATTGAGTCGGAATCATCAGCTGTGCCGAAATGACAGCTCCAGTTCGTGTACTACACGTTGTTCACTCGTTGCCCATGTCTGGTTGCATGTCTGGTTGCATGTCTGTGCTTGCATCCAACACCGCACGAAGATGGGAAGCGCAACTGCTGCTGGGTCTTGATGCGGTGCTTAGGTCATGCAATAACACCATTCAATGAGTCGGAATCATCAGCTGTGCCGAAATGACAGCTCCAAGTCGTGTACTACACGTTGTTCACTCGTTGCCCATGTCTGGTTGCATGTCTGGTTGCATGTCTGTGCTTGCATCCAACACCGCACGAAGATGGGAAGCGCAACTGCTGCTGGGTCTTGATGCGGTGCTTAGGTCATGCAATAACACCATTCAAATGAGTCGGAATCATCAGCTGTGCCGAAATGACAGCTCCAGTTCGTGTACTACACGTTGTTCACTCGTTGCCCATGTCGGGTTGCATGTCTGGTTGCATGTCTGTGCTTGCATCCAACACCGCACGAAGATGGGAAGCGCAACTGCTGCTGGGTCTTGATGCGGTGCTTAGGTCATGCAATAACACCTCTTGATGAGTCGGAATCATCAGCTGTGCCGAAATGACAGCTCCAGTTCGTGTACTACACGTTGTTCACTCGTTGCCCATGTCTGGTTGCATGTCTGTGCTTGCATCCAACACCGCACGAAGATGGGAAGCGCAACTGCTGCTGGGTCTTGATGCGGTGCTTAGGTCATGCAATAACACCATTCAATTGAGTCGGAATCATCAGCTGTGCCGAAATGACAGCTCCAGTTCGTGTACTACACGTTGTTCACTCGTTGCCCATGTCTGGTTGCATGTCTGTGCTTGCATCCAACACCGCACGAAGATGGGAAGCGCAACTGTTGCTGGGTCTTGATGCGGTGCTTAGATCATGCAATAACACCATTCAATTGAGTCGGAATCATCATCTGTGCCGAAATGACAGCTCCAGTTCGTGTACTACACGTTGTTCACTCGTTGCCCATGTCTGGTTGCATGTCTGGTTGCATGTCTGTGCTTGCATCCAACACCGCACGAAGATGGGAAGCGCAACTGCTGCTGGGTCTTGATGCGGTGCTTAGGTCATGCAATAACACCATTCAATTGAGTCGGAATCATCATCTGCGCCGAAATGACAGCTCCAGTTCGTGTACTACACGTTGTTCACTCGTTGCCCATGTCTGGTTGCATGTCTGGTTGCATGTCTGTGCTTGCATCCAACACCGCACGAAGATGGGAAGCGCAACTGTTGTTGGATCTTGATGCGGTGCTTAGATCATGCAACAACACCATTCAATTGAGTCGGAATCATCATGTGTGCCGAAATGACAGCTCCAGTTCGTGTACTACACGTTGTTCACTCGTTGCCCATGTCTGGTTGCATGTCTGGTTGCATGTCTGTGCTTGCATCCAACACCGCACGAAGATGGGAAGCGCAACTGCTGCTGGGTCTTGATGCGGTGCTTAGGTCATGCAATAACACCATTCAATTGAGTCGGAATCATCATCTGCGCCGAAATGACAGCTCCAGTTCGTGTACTACACGTTGTTCACTCGTTGCCCATGTCTGGTTGCATGTCTGGTTGCATGTCTGTGCTTGCATCCAACACCGCACGAAGATGGGAAGCGCAACTGCTGCTGGGTCTTGATGCGGTGCTTAGGTCATGCAATAACACCATTCAATTGAGTCGGAATCATCAGCTGTGCCGAAATGACAGCTCCAGTTCGTGTACTACACGTTGTTCACTCGTTGCCCATGTCTGGTTGCATGTCTGGTTGCATGTCTGTGCTTGCATCCAACACCGCACGAAGATGGGAAGCGCAACTGCTGCTGGGTCTTGATGCGGTGCTTAGGTCATGCAATAACACCATTCAAATGAGTCGGAATCATCAGCTGTGCCGAAATGACAGCTCCAGTTCGTGTACTACACACGTTGTTCACTCGTTGCCCATGTCTGGTTGCATGTCTGGTTGCATGTCTGTGCTTGCATCCAACACCGCACGAAGATGGGAAGCGCAACTGCTGCTGGGTCTTGATGCGGTGCTTAGGTCATGCAATAACACCATTCCATTGAGTCGGAATCATCATCTGTGCCGAAATGACAGCTCCAGTTCGTGTACTACACGTTGTTCACTCGTTGCCCATGTCTGGTTGCATGTCTGGTTGCATGTCTGTGCTTGCATCCAACACCGCACGAAGATGGGAAGCGCAACTGCTGCTGGGTCTTGATGCGGTGCTTAGGTCATGCAATAACACCATTCAATTGAGTCGGAATCATCATCTGCGCCGAAATGACAGCTCCAGTTCGTGTACTACACGTTGTTCACTCGTTGCCCATGTCTGGTTGCATGTCTGGTTGCATGTCTGTGCTTGCATCCAACACCGCACGAAGATGGGAAGCGCAACTGCTGCTGGGTCTTGATGCGGTGCTTAGGTCATGCAATAACACCATTCAATTGAGTCGGAATCATCATCTGTGCCGAAATGACAGCTCCAGTTCGTGTACTACACGTTGTTCACTCGTTGCCCATGTCTGGTTGCATGTCTGGTTGCATGTCTGTGCTTGCATCCAACACCGCACGAAGATGGGAAGCGCAACTGCTGCTGGGTCTTGATGCGGTGCTTAGGTCATGCAATAACACCATTCAATTGAGTCGGAATCATCAGCTGTGCCGAAATGACAGCTCCAGTTCGTGTACTACACGTTGTTCACTCGTTGCCCATGTCTGGTTGCATGTCTGGTTGCATGTCTGTGCTTGCATCCAACACCGCACGAAGATGGGAAGCGCAACTGCTGCTGGGTCTTGATGCGGTGCTTAGGTCATGCAATAACACCATTCAATTGAGTCGGAACCATCGGCTGTGCCGAAATGACAGCTCCAGTTCGTGTACTACACGTTGTTCACTCGTTGCCCATGTCTGGTTGCATGTCTGGTTGCATGTCTGTGCTTGCATCCAACACCGCACGAAGATGGGAAGCGCAACTGCTGCTGGGTCTTGATGCGGTGCTTAGGTCATGCAATAACACCATTCAAATGAGTCGGAATCATCATCTGCGCCGAAATGACAGCTCCAGTTCGTGTACTACACGTTGTTCACTCGTTGCCCATGTCTGGTTGCATGTCTGTGCTTGCATCCAACACCGCACGAAGATGGGAAGCGCAACTGCTGCTGGGTCTTGATGCGGTGCTTAGGTCATGCAATAACACCATTCCATTGAGTCGGAATCATCATCTGTGCCGAAATGACAGCTCCAGTTCGTGTACTACACGTTGTTCACTCGTTGCCCATGTCTGGTTGCATGTCTGGTTGCATGTCTGTGCTTGCATCCAACACCGCACGAAGATGGGAAGCGCAACTGCTGCTGGGTCTTGATGCGGTGCTTAGATCATGCAATAACACCATTCAATTGAGTCGGAATCATCAGCTGTGCCGAAATGACAGCTCCAGTTCGTGTCCTACACGTTGTTCACTCGTTACCCATGTCTGGTTGCATGTCTGTGCTTGCATCCAACACCGCACGAAGATGGGAAGCGCAACTGCTGCTGGCTCTTGATGCGGTGCTTAGGTCATGCAATAACACCATTCAATTGAGTCGGAATCATCAGCTGTGCCGAAATGACAGCTCCAGTTCGTGTACTACACGTTGTTCACTCGTTGCCCATGTCTGGTTGCATGTCTGGTTGCATGTCTGTGCTTGCATCCAACACCGCACGAAGATGGGAAGCGCAACTGCTGCTGGGTCTTGATGCGGTGCTTAGGTCATGCAATAACACCATTCAAATGAGTCAGAATCATCATCTGTGCCGAAATGACAGCTCCAGTTCGTGTCCTACACGTTGTTCACTCGTTGCCCATGTCTGGTTGCATGTCTGGTTGCATGTCTGTGCTTGCATCCAACACCGCACGAAGATGGGAAGCGCAACTGCTGCTGGGTCTTGATGCGGTGCTTAGGTCATGCAATAACACCATTCAAATGAGTCGGAATCATCAGCTGCGCCGAAATGACAGCTCCAGTTCGTGTACTACACGTTGTTCACTCGTTGCCCATGTCTGGTTGCATGTCTGGTTGCATGTCTGTGCTTGCATCCAACACCGCACGAAGATGGGAAGCGCAACTGTTGCTGGGTCTTGATGCGGTGCTTAGGTCATGCAATAACACCATTCAATTGAGTCAGAATCATCAGCT